TGTGTGTGTGTGTGTGTGTGTGTGTGTGTGTGTGTGTGTGTGTGTGTATTGTATACCATTTTGTCAGCTGGGTAGGCTCATGTGTCAACCACAGCAGTCCAGGTACTGAACAGTTCCAGCACTATAAGGATCCCTAGTATTTTCCTTTTATAGCTACACATCCCCCCCACCGCACACCTCCATTGCCTAATCCCTGGCAACTACTAATATGTCCTCCGTTTCTAAAATCTATTATTTCAGAAAAAATGTTATGTAAATGTAACCACAGGGTTGGGCACGGTGGCTCACACCTGTAATTCCAGTACTTTGTTGGGCACAGTGGCTCACACCTGTAATTCCAGTACTTTGGGAGACTGAGGTGGGTGGATCAGTTGAGGTCAGGAGCTTGAGACCAGCCTGGCCAACATGGTGAAACCTTGTCTCCACTAAAAGTTTAAAAATTAGGTGGGCGTGGTGGTGCATGCCTGTAATCCCAGCTACCCGGGAGGCTGAGGCACAAGAATCCCTGAGCATGGCAGGCGGAGGCTGCACTGAGCCACTGCACTCCATCTGGGCGACAGAGTGAAACTGTGTCACAGAAAATAAATACATAAATAAAAATAAATGTAACCACTGACTTTTGGGATTGGCTTTTTGAAGCATATTAAATAAAGGTGCTGTGAACATTTGTGTACTTGTTTTTGTATAAACAAGTTTTTATTTTTCTGGGAGAGATACCCACCTGTGGAATTGCTGGGTCATACAGTCATTGCATATTTAGTTTTAGAAGAAACTGCCAAGCTCTAGTTTTTTTGAGTGGCTGTACCACTTCTATCCCTTCAGAAATGTGTGTTTCAGTTTTTCCACATTTTCACCAGCATTTGATGTTGCCACTTTTTTATTTTAGCCTTTTTTTTTTTTTTTTTGAAACACAGTTTCACTCTGTCTCCCAGGCTGGAATGCAGTGACACAATCATAGCTCACTGCAACCTCCACACCCTGGGTTCAAGCGATTATCCTGCCTCAGCCTCTTGAGTAGCTGGGACTACAAGCACATACCACCACATCCAGCTAATTTCTTTATATTATTAGTAGAGGCAGCGTTTCACCATGCTGGCCAGGCTGGTCTTGAACTTCTGATCTCAAGTGATCCACCCGCCTCAGCCTCCCAAAGTGCTGAGATTACAGGCGTGAACCACTGCGCCTGGGCTTATGTTAGTCATTCTGGTAGTTTATGCAGTGATACCTCACTGTGGTTTAAAGGTGTGTTACCTTGGTGGCTAATGAGGTTGAACATCTTTTCATGTGTTTATTTGCCAACTTTACATACTTTCTGGTGAGATGTCTGTTCATTTCTTTTGCCCATTTTCTAATCTGATTATTTGTTTTTTTAACTCTTGTTTTCTATTCTCCCTTTTATTTATTATGTTTTTTAGAAAACACTTATTAGCATGTACTATGTTTCAGCCATTTGAAATACAGAGATAAAAGGCAGAATTGGCCCTCAGGGAACTGGCTGTTTTGGGAAGAGACAAGGGAGCATGTTTCTGTGTAGGTGGGCACCGACCGACCTCCTAGCAGGAGAGTCAGTAAAATCTTGCTTCCTGGTGGAGGTGACATCTGATCAGTGTCTGAAGCATGAATATTCGTTACACTTGATATGTATTATACTGCCTTTACATTAGGACATTAATACAGTAAGAAATAGATAGGGCATTCTAAAAGCCGCCTCAGGGCATCCTTCTTTATAAGTAATTTGTTGTGTGAACTTAATTCAAGATTAGCAAACACTGAACGCAAATGTCATGTTTCTTGGGGATTCTTAGAGATGACAGTATTCTGGAGCCCAGTGATGTGTGATCCAATGGGAGCTGGGGTTCCATAGCGAGCAGATAGCTGCTGGTTACAGAAACAAACTTAGTCACATGGGAGTTTCAGGAGAGTGACACATTAATCCTCACTAGGAGATCGCAGAAGGGGGTTGGGGCTAGGATTTGAAAAATGAGAAGAGCTTTAACAGGTAGATATAAAAGGAAACGGATTTGTTACAGACTCATAGGTCCCTGCATTTTACTGATTTCCAGTTCCCATCTTGCTGTTACCCAGAGTTGCTTCTGAGGAAAGGTCAGCGATCTAGGGTCAGACTCCACATCTTGCTAATGGGTCCGGTGGAATAGGTCGTGTGGAGGTTGCATTTAGTTTTAGGGTGAGATTCACAATCTATAGGAAGGAAGTCCATCTTGCAGATAGATGGCCTGAGGTGTAGAGAGGGTCAAATTCAGCCCAGCCCCATTGCCCTACTGGCCAGGCCAGTGGATTTGTTTTGTCTAGAAAATTCTCAGTCCAATTCACTGGTGTGAATTTCACCCAGTGGCTCTGCTAAAAATAAAAAATTGCTTGATAAAAACAAAATACTGCAAAGTAAGTGAACTGGGGAGTACTTATTTGTTTAAAAACACAGCTAATTATCTCATGAGTTTTTAAATGTCCTTTAAAGGACATAATTTTGGGGGCCTGGCAC